TGCTCACACCATTCAAATTAAACTGGACGTCTGACACTGATGAACAAAAGCACATGTAATGGAAACTCGAGCTATCATAGCTGTCATTGTGACACTGGATGGTATTTCAGGTAGATGTGGGAGGTGAGATTCTGTGTGGTGCCTCCGTCTCATTAAAAATGCTGTGGGTGGAGGTGGAGGGGAAGAAGAAGAAGAAATTGCTTCGTCTGCACTGCAAATGTCAAAGCTGTTGAAAGAGATTTAGGAGCAATTTGTCACGATGATCTGCTCCCACTGATGAGGTCAAGAGATTCAAATCAAGTGTTTCATCTGCCCGTGTGGAAAAATCATCTGTCCCGTCGCCTCTTTTCCTTTTTATACTCCCGAGACGTGAACAGCCGGAGAAGATGTGTAGAAAATGTCAGGAATCACAGATTAGAGCGGCTGGATTTATAGCAAAGTGGGAATTCTTGGTTTTATGTTCCTGTTCTGATTTTTATTTATTCTACTGATAAGTTCCAGCAGACATATTTCACTTCCTCTCTTAACTTTATTATTATGAGTTTTTATAACCTTTCCTGGTCTCGCGGTTCATGTAGAGGATAGCTGATGTTCCTCTCGCCATCTTCGTGGTTGTAATCTGGATGCAATGAAACATCAAATAATAATAATGATCACATGCTTCTGTTATCTGCAGGGTCTGAAGCCGATGGACTTCAACGGTTTAGCTGACCCGTACGTCAAACTGCACCTGCTGCCCGGAGCCTGTAAGGTGAGAGACCGCTCATGACCACAGAGGGTTGGTGTGACAGAGCGGGACGCTGGGATTGGGCAGGGTGGAGGCCGACTGTGTGGACCACTGAGTGTTCAGGTGTTTCTGACCCACCTGCAGGCTGTGCCTCATGTTGCTCGATGAGGAGCACTACAGCTGACCTCCCATCATTCCACAGTGGGTGATGGCAAAAATGACGATGACTCATTAGTGGCAGTAACTGAAGGATGCTTGTAAGGATGCTCCAGAGTCTCCTCAGGTGAAGGAGGTCATCTTAATGTTGTTATGACTGCAGATCACTTCACTCTGTTAGAAACCTTTATGAGAAATGCTTTACTTCCTGTTTTATTTTGAAAGTATTTTTCACCATGTGTCTTGTTTTCCTCTGACATCTTGCTTCACCGCGGCACTAACCTCTGAGCTTTCATGCTTTTACTTTCATACTTTGCTACCTGCCGGCTCGTCGCCCTCTTTGTGACAGATAACACAGGGTGATACCAGTGATACCAGTGATACCAGTGATACCAGTGAAACATGGCGAGGGCAAGATTTGAGTGTACCGACTAATTCAACATCCCAGACTATCAGACACTACTCGTCCTTTAGATCCTACCGTCTTTGGAGAGATGTGCACACGGAGACATCAGAGCCCTGACGAAACAGCTGAAGGGATAATAACCATCCTGCAGATATTGAGCTTTACTTTGAGCATCAATGATGCAAAACTGCTCTAAGAATAAAAATATGCAGCTGGAAATGAGAAGAACAGTCAGCTGAGATATGTACAAAGTGATTTTATTCTGGTTTGGTGGCCTCTGTGTTTACGTGAAGCCGCCTGTGAGCAGCTGAAATGTCCACGGTTCAGTGGCAGCACATTCTTGGCTTCAGCTCATTTCAGGATTTTCAAAGCCATGAAACGAAATCCTCCTCCTGACAGGAGCAATGTGTAAAAACACTGAGGACGGATCGACTTTTATCCTGACGGTAGTTACGTCTCTCGGCGGGTTTCCGGCACCTTCGCTGAAGTGATGGTTTGATTGTTGCTTTATTAATTGTGCAATCTTTGTGAACTTGTGTTTATTGCTGTGAGGAGACACCAACGACTGCCTGCGTCCCCAAATAACATTCAAGTTTATCTCCATCTCGGCTCTGCTGTGAGAAAAGAAAATCTTCTCTCTGAGCTGTTTTTCCTTTCGTCCTGATGGGATTTTATTTTGATTTTACTTTTGTCTTGAAGCGATGCAGCCGTGAGTTCAGCCTTTAATGAGATTTAAAAAGGTTTAAACACATTTTCTGCTCTGTTTCAACTTCTGTGCAGAGAAATGAAATGAAATGTCAAACTATGTTAGTAATTACTAATATATCTGTGTGTGTGTGTGTGTGTGTGTGTGTGTGTGTGTGTGTCCTTCAGGCCAATAAGCTGAAGACGAGGACGATCCGTAACTCCCTGAATCCCGTGTGGAATGAAACGCTCACTTATGTCGGCATCACAGAGGAAGACATGCACAGGAAGACGCTCAGGTCTGTGTTTACATCAGTGTGTGTGACAAACACACTCTGGGGAGAATTCATCACATCTCATTTCAGAGCAATTACGCTCACAGCCGTTAATCAGCTGCTGTTACATCCTGACATTCACATATGAAGCTCAGTTGTCACATTTCATTAGTTGAGCTGTCGGAGCACAAAGCTGCAGCGCGATGAGATTAAGTGTTGTCTCTGCTGCAGGTATCAAACACGTTTTGTTGCCAATATTGTATCGAGATCCTTCCCCGACTCTCTGGCTGCTTCTAACAGTCTGATTGGACTGAATCCGTCCTTCACAGAGGAGTCAGAGACAACAGTAACGAGCTCACAGCGAGCTGCTGTGAATAAAGCCGTTTGTCAGAGTTATCAGATAAACAGCTGCAGCCAAAAAAAGGCTTGTTGTAGTGAATGAAGCCGTCGTAAAAAACTACAGTAAACATCAGGAAGACTTTTGGGTTTAAATGACAAATGAGCCTCAGCCATCGTTATTCTGGCTGATGATGGCTAACACTAAGCTAACACTAAGCTAACACTAAGCTAACATGGACAAATAGCAAGTTGCCCAACAAAACCACGAGCTGTGATTTGGTAAATAAGTTTTACCCCTGATGAAGGTAACAATATGTGTCCCACCCCCAGATTGTTAGTGGTGCATGTTGAAATCATTTACACTGCAAACAAAAACCCAGAAATTAACTCTGAGTGTCCATAATCTGATGTCGGTGTGAGGGTCCAGCTGTGGGCCAAGCAGAGGTTGGACCCAAACGCAGCACTCAGACAAAACATGAACTCGAACAGCTGCAGTGCTGAGAACTACAAAGTGCAAAACA